CCCCCCCCCCCTTTTTTAAGCTAAATGCCCCAAATTCACAAGACAAGAGCTTGTCAGAAGCAAAAATGACCACAATGCCGGAAACCGCTATCTGGGTCAAGAGAATACGCAGCTAAAAGCGCCAAGCACCAATCTGCAAAAGGCTCTGATCCCCACAGGTGTTCCAGGTACAGCCTACAGGTTATAAAAGGATCCTCTAAAAGCACGTCTTGTTCTCCCCAGCGCGCTCAGGCAAAGCATCTTTTGTATCAGCCCGTGTGTATCAAACCGGAGGGTGGAGCAGATGGTGGTGACTGACTTAAAGCAAAATGTTCCTTTTAACAAGCCATGCTACTAAAAATATATTTTCCCTGTAAAGTTTTGTTGCAAGTAGTACACCGAGAAACAACTTTATGTCCATAAGAAGCCAGTGCCACGCTGTTTTGTTCTGGGAAAAGATGTTGGTACAGCTTTTCATCAACTTATTTAGCACACATAACCGTTCTCTAAGAGCCCTCTAGGCCACATCAAAATCAGATATAAAGTTGTGAGATGAGCAGCAAAGCGAGTTTTAGATCATGTCCTGCAAGATGTTGAAGTTCCAGAGACCAAGGGTGCTCCTTTATAGATAAAAATGGTACCCTCAGCCTCCTGGATCACAGAGCTGACCGTTTGCTTTCCACCTGGGATGAGAGAAGCAGGCAAGTTCTTGGCAGCTAAGTTGGTGGGAAGAAATTGCAGCTCAGAGACAGAATGCACGCAGAAGGGGAATACTGCAGAATGTTTCCTTGCCCTTAAAATCATGTACTTCAATATTATTGCATTCAAGATCTCAATAAAAAAAGCCTGCATTTATTTTGAACTGGCTATTAGATAAAGCCTCTACTCCCCTACACACACACGAGAGAAAATTCTAGAACAGTGTGTGTAACAGAAACCAAATCAGTAAAAAAGCCTCGTCCACTTTTTTCACAGGATCTGCATCTGGGGCTTGTAAGCAGCTGGCAAAGTTTCAGGCAATGTTTGTGACAGTGATGGTGCCTCCAAAGACGAGACAATCGTATCCTGTTGATCAAAGCCAGAACTCGTGTGTGTCTAACAAGAAATGAATTATCTACACAGAGAAGACGAGAAATAATTTGAATAGAAATCTGAAGCATGAGATCTCCTTAAACGAGGACTGCAGAGAGCACTAAGTGAGCAGCAAATTCCTGCCATGGTTTACTCTGCATAAAGTTTATAAAAGTATCAGAGCAAGGACTTCGTTTAACACACATTTACAGACAGACTTTGCTGGAAGTTATGGGTACGTGTTACAATCTTACCGTGGCTGTAACTTTATCCCAGTCTGTTACAAAAGCACGGAATCCTTCCCCGAAGAGCATCCCAGCTGTCCTGTCATAACAAAGGCAAGCAGAAGGAAAAGGGATTTCAAAGACTGAGTTTAAACAATTTACAAGACAACTTGATACTCATTAACCATCTTCTTCAGAACCAACCAAAGCTCACCAAGGGCTCACCTGGGAACTGAAACATGAACAAGCACGGCAAATATTCCTCAGAACTCAGAGGAACAAACAGCAAGGTTTTGTACGTGACAGGAGAAATCCGCAAAAGCAGCAAGGCAACCCCTGCCCTTCTCCTGGCTTGCACCTACTTGAGGGACTCCAACACCGTCTGGCGATGCTCAGCAGCTTTCAAGCGGATCTGCTCCCGAATGATGTCTGCGTTCTCCCGCTCAGCCTTGGCACGGGCTTTTGCCTCCGCCTCGACACGCAGCATTTCATTCTTATGCCGCAGCTCCATCTCTCGCTCTACCGTAGCTTAATAAAAAAACAAAGGAAAGGACACTCTTTATGCTGGTTAATCCCAGGTAGCAGGCAGGTGAAGAGAACTGCTTCATCCTGGCTTCATAATAGCTGTGTGGTCCCATAGCAGCAGACTTCAAGATGTTCATTCCATCCCATCTTCCCTCAAAAGGCACCCAACCAGTAAAACATTACAGAAGACAAACAAAGAATTTTCCCTCTGTGCTCAGGGGGATCAAACACCAAATCGATGCCTTCTCCAGAAGCAAGGCAAATAATCATCCTTCAGTTCTGGAAGTTCATTACCAGAAACATTGCTCAGGGCAAACTTTAGTCAGACACGAGTTAGACAGTAAGGGATAAAGCAACAGAGGGAAACACCACAGCACAAGGCACTGCTGCTGCTCATCATTTCAGAGAGGAAGGGTGACAGGCTACAGCCAGCAAAGGACAACCCTGGGCAAGTAACTACGCACAGCGTAGCGTATATGGGATTTACCCATTACTTGCCAGTAGGACATTAACACATCACCCTAAGGGAGCATCCAACCATATGGACAAGGAGCCAAAGGTGAACACAGAGAACTCATTTCCCATCCACTCCATTAACTACGGAAAAATTCCTAGCTTACCACGCCTCATGGCTTCCTGCTTCTGTACAGATTCTTCCTGCTTCCTCAGATTCTCTTCGTTAGCGAGTTGCTACAGGCAGAGGTGACAGCAGAAGATGCATTAAAGTTGTAAGAACTCGGTCAAGTGGGTATTTGTGTAAGCTCAAGTACTACAAATGTTTTTGAGAAGCCAGTGCTTAGGATGAAGTGCATTCTTCCTCTCCCCATCTCCCACATCCATGCTATTAATCCCACGCTCCCAGCCATGCCATCCTAATTCCTGACCTTCGATTTGCCTGGCCAGCACTGCTGATGCCAAGCAAACACTACAGATGAAAGCAACCATGCCCACCACCAGCCATCTGGCCAGCAGGATGGGGCTCAGCTCCAGATCACTGCTTTGACTTAGGCCTCTGTACAGTTCCCAGCTGGGTTAGAGAAGGCAGCTATCATACCTGCTGTCGCATCTGTTCATCGTAGCGCTGCCTTGCCAGTTTGTCCTGGTACTGGGCTCGCTTCAAAAGAAGAGTATTCAGAATACATAGATTAGGCATTTAAAAGAGATCTCAGTCCTGAGG